GGAAGCTTATTGTCTAGTTACTTAAGTTCTAATTGGTTTCTCGAAGATCCTCTGTCTTCTTTTCGCTTTAGTTGTTTTTGTTTGTCCCGGAATTGCCTTGGGGTGGCCTGTCTTCGGGTGAGGAGGAGGGTTGGCAACTATCGTCCTCCTTTTCTTGATTAAGTGCATGTTGTTTTCCCTGTAGTGTGTTCTTGACGTATGCATGTATTAGTGTCCATTTTTTGCGAGAATCTAGCATGGTTGGTATTAGATTATCTGGAGTTAGAGTTGGTATGTTTAGTGTTTTTTCCAGTTCTTCTTTCTTTTGTCTTACGTTGTTACAAGTGAACCGAGAGATTGACGGCCAAATTGACGGTCAATCTTGAGTACATCTCCTACACTGAGAAAAAACTATGGCTTATAAACCTATTAGAGGTAAATATGGAACACCACTAATAGTAGTACCTCTACATTTAATAATAGCACATATACCTTAGTTATGGTACGGGGTACCTTAATTAGGTACAGAGACCTTAGTATGGTTCACAGACCGAGAATCATTAGTTTATTTACGACTATTATAGGTGTTCCATATTTACCTCTAATAGGTTTATAAACCATAGTTTTTTCTCAGTGTACCTCGTCACTATGTACATGAGTGAGGATTTCGGGGTGGTGGCCTACTTGACGAACGCGCTCGGGATAGGGAATCAAACATCCTCAACAAAAGATTTCTCTGAGGATATTTGGAGAAATATACACACCATCTTGGAGACGGATGGTATTTTGGTGGCCCTGCCCGGTTATCTGTTCGCGAAGAGTGACGTTCGTATGAGTACTGGGTCCTCGGGCACCAGTCCGAACACCATTTGGTGAAGGAACGTTTGATGAATTACCCTTTCACCTTTACATTCCTTAAAAATCCCTTCCTTTTCGATAGGTTCAGCCGCTTGATTTCTCGGTTTCTAGAATTCGGGCTCGTCCAAAGACATAAAGACGGAGCGCTCGTATCTAAAAGCACGGGGAAAAAGTGAAGCTAGGTTCGGCGCTGCGCGCTTGTGTGAGTGTGTAAATGAGCGCGGGAATCCATGGCGGCAAACGGAAATTTGATTTGAACTTGTCCTCTTGATTTTTGCACATTTCTTCTTCGAAACGTATTTTAAATTCCTAAAACGAATATACTAAGAAAGTTCGGTCTGCGTCCTAACATAATACACCTACTTTTGCTCGGTAACAGGCAGTAATCTCAGATAAAGTTAGTTTTTCTTCTGCTCATGGTGGTTCTGCAGGTTCAAACAGGCCGTTACAGTTCTAGATCGACGTTACTCCCAAATGAAATTAATCGGTCGACGACGGACTGAAACTAACCTAGAGTTAAAAAAATATGAGTGGGTAAGTGAATTTGGGCAAAAATCAACCTAGAATACTTTGTTTCCGCAATTATTTTATTCAGTTCCCGCCCTACATTTGAATTCAAACTTGTCCCGATTTCGCCGCCACTCCTCTAGCCAATAGTAGAGGTGGTTGAAAAGAAGCTTAATTTTTTGCTTTTAGCCCTCCGTCTTTATGTCTTTGGGCTCGTCCGAAAATTCATGGACTTCACGGACGCGGCTACTAACGGGAGAAGGTTCGAAGTTGCGCCTTTGCCGATGGAGGGAGAACCGAAGCCTTACAATTTATATGATTTGCAGCTGGCCTTTATTGTCCTTGTAATCGGTTTGTTTTTCAGTTTTCTCGTGTTCGTCGCGGAGATTCTGATCGAGGATTTTAAAAAGGTGACCGTTTTCGAGCGTGTGAGACGCGCTATGTCGTTTCTCCCTCAACGGAACTCATGCGGACATGCTCGATACTAATCCAGCACGACTGTGAACGAGATTTTGATGGAAGGGAAACATTTCTGCTAATTCATCGCATGCGTCGAGATATATCATTACGCTGCCTCGGGACATTTCAAGGAAAAATAAGCATAACTCTCTACAAATAAAATACATGTTCTATCCGGGAAAATTTGGCAACTCTCAAACGATCATACGCCGTTCTTCCTTCGCACGGCGGTATTGCGTTTTGTGACCTAGAAGATTTCCTATTGTATTATATACTTCCTTAAGGGACGGCTGGTCGTGGCTATTGTACAAATATTCTGTAAATATAGTTCTTATAAAGAAAAAAAAAAAAAATCGCATCAGGAAGCAATTCTCCAGTCCTGATTATTGAAAGTTGGCAACCCTCTCAATACTCCATTTAAATTCATCAGAAATATCGATTTTAGATGAGGCAAGGTGTCTTACCAAGAATCGATTGTGTTACTGTTACATAGATTGAAATGGAGAAAAAACATTGTTGCCAACTTTCAAGAATCGCCACTGATAAGAACAGAACGGAAACTCACGAAATATTCCGAGTTTGAGTCGAACTTTGAATCGATTTTTCTTGACATTCCAAAATCACACAACTTCGATCGATTCGATTTTAAAAGGACAAGGACGTTACGAGGTTTCACGTCCAAGTGGATAATCCCTTGCCTGTGACAATACGATAAAGCTTCACTGATGTCGATCAAGTATCTGAAACAAGGGAAGTATCGTGTTCATGTTAAAAATTAAGAAGGACCAGGGGTGTGGCATGCTTTGCGATGTATCGATTTATCTGCCATTTAAACCTATGGAAAAGTATCGATAAACAGGGCGTCCGCAATAGACACCTTAATAATCGATCTGTTCCCATAGCTTCAAATGGGGAAATATCGATAATCGATCATTCACGGCTTGCCACTGAAACGGGTGCATTTTTGCGATCATTTACGAGAGAAAGAGAAAGAGAGAGGGGGGAGAGGGAGAGGGAGGGAGGGAGGGGGAGAGAGAGAGAGAAAACCTGTTGCGGTTTGAATGAAGATTAAACGTTATCAACCCCTTGAAAGCCAGAGAAAAAGAAAAAGGACAAATAATTTTTAATTTACAAGTAAAAATTGCACAAACCGTTCAGAGAGTTTACGGATGTTCGTAAGAAATGAAGCGTCAATTTCTTGAAGTTCTGCCAAAGAGAAGAGCAGTAAAAAAAACTGCAAGATTCAAAATGATATAATTGCGTTTAATCTAATTGTTCTGGTTCGCCAAAAATTGAAAGAAACAATGAAACTATCGTAATGTGGGAAATGAGCTTTGGAGGTTCATGATAGAAATGAGTTTTTGTTTATCTTTCCTATATTACTATACTGCCCATAGCCGGATTTACCCACTTGCCGCCCATGGACCGCCTGTATTTTGCCGCCCTCTTCTCATTCATTTTGAAACATCAATAAAAACCATCAAGTGAACGTGCCAGAGGGAGAAGGGTGCATAAGACGCGTTCACTCGTGTTGGATACATTTTTTGCGTAAGCCCTGTCAACACTACTAGCAAAAGTTCCCGGAACTTCGCGCGAAAGTTCAGTTTCGTAAACTTATCTCTGTGGGGACAAGGCCTTTCATTTGTAAGAAATGAACTAAAAAATTAAGAAAGAACAAACTTAAATATATGGTTTAATAATTTTAACTTCCGCCGCCGCGCCGCGTTGACCACACTGTCTGTGTTTGGCGCAATGCGTGAAGTATTCATGTAGTCTTGTAGGCACTGTGCGTTTCACGCCGCGCCGACCGCTGTTGACCGTACTGAGTTTGACGCAATGCGTGATGAAGTATTCATGCAGTCTCGTAGGCGCTAATATGTGTTACATGCCGATCGCCGCGTCGAGGGCTTCTCCTTTTCATCTCAAGTCCTCGTCATCATTTCTCTTTGCGCATTGCGCCGCGCCGCTCCAGGCCAAATTACGTGTTTGGTTTCTCTCTTAACTCAACTAATTAAAGGTGCGCAGTCTTTTGTATCACCGAAATACGACAAAATTAGAAATTAATGAACTCTCAGGAAATGAGCGATTTTGTCACCTTTTCTAGTTTGTAATTTTTTTCTGAATCCGATTTTTTTGTACAAATTGCAAAATTTGCCACCCCCTAATTTTGCCGCCATGGGCCGCGGCCCATGTGGCCACCCCCATAATCCGGCCCTGATACTGCCGTCCTAAGGAAGAACGCCGTATGAGCCTTCAGGCGTTGCCAAGTTTCCTTCGACAAAAACCGAATTTACGGAGAAAATTGTGAATATTTTTTTCCAAAATTTTTAGACAATTTTGTACGCAATTTAATCCAAAATATCTGAAAATGTCAAAGAAAAATGTGCATGATCGTCGTTAAAAACACATGATTTATCAAGGGAAGAGTGACAACTCTCGGATTTTCATACGACGTTCTTTCTTAGCACGGCACTGAACAAGCTACTATAAATACTAAAAAAACATTCAATTTTTTCTAATTGTTTTCCGTGTTGACTCTGTCTGTATACTAGAACATCAATATTCGAGGTCACTTTGTTACCTGAGTCTTATTTCCGGACATATCGTGAAGGAGGGGTCATCAATGATTTGTTGGAGGGTTAAGTTGGGGCATATTTCCATGAGCACTAGTCCGAAATCGTGACGATCCTCGTTCACCACCCGACAAATACTGACTAGATTTGGGTGATTCAACGAGAGAGCGTTCTCTTCGTTATCCAGAGACTTGAGCGATGCTCGCCTGTGCTTTCTCACAACTTTCACGGCTACTTCTTGACCTGCAAAAAGGTGCACATCGATTACTGTATTTACTTAAAGAATGCAGTTTCAACTAAATCGCCTTCAATGGGCAAAATTTGGATACAGTGGGCAAATATCAAGAAATGTTCCTTGATATACTCGTATTTTCACCTTGGCCTTGGTCAATCTACTTGGCCTCTACCATGAATAGTGAGGGGTTTTCAGAGTAAATGCATGACGTACCTTTTATGTTAGGAATGGGCCTGTTGCAAACTTTTGCTAGAGCAAAAATAAGAGTTGTTTCTTATAGATAATGCCTCAAAAATCACGATGAGCGCATCGGCAAAGTCTGAAATGCACTCATAACTTCACAGTCTGCGTAAGAAATTTGCGGTTTTTTGAGCTTCCCACTTCAAAAACGATACTACGGCACAGGTGAACATCTTGTAAGAGGAGTCGTTCCATCGTCGGCAATACTCATCATGGCCGACGCCAATCCGCCAAAACACGTGTGATGGGACGAGATAACACCTGAACTGGATTAGACCAGATAAAAATCGGCGTGTTAACGTTCATATTCTCCACGCCCGAATTGATTGACCTTGAACTCTCCTCGAATTACGCGCGGAACTGCGCGCAAGCGTCGGCCATGATGAATATCGCCGACGATGGAGCGATTCCTCTAACAAAATGTTCACCTGTGCCGTAGTATCGTTTTTGAAGCGGGAAGCTTAAAAAAACGCAAATTTCTTACGCAGATTGTGAAGTTATGAGTGCATTTCAGACTTTGCCAATGCGCTCATTGTGATTTTTGAGGCATTATCTATAAGAAACAAACCTTATTTTTGCTCTAGCAAAAGTTTGCAACAGGCCCATTGGATAAATTCTTCCATCGTTAGAATAGCTTAAAATCGCTCCTGAGAGGAATCAATTTTTAAAAATTTTCCGGAGGAGGTCCTCCGGATCCCCTCTAAACCTAAAAGAATACCTCGATCCTTCGTTTGAAGTGGAAAGGGTCCTCCAGATCCCCCTTGGTGAGGTAGATACCCTTCTGCCCCCCCCCCCCCCCGAAAAGTTCCCAGTTCCATCCATTCAGACTGCGTACCTGGTGTATATAAAATCATAGATCGAGTTGATGTTTCTTGGGAAAAATTGTAGAGTCTACTAATTATTCTTTAGGCCTGTAGTAAATTTTTTATACCATGAAAATACATACTATGAGTGGCATCCCTAATTTGAGAGCTATTTTAAATTGCCGTTGTATAAAATGACGCTGGGGAAAAGGCAGCCTTAAATGGACCATTCGTTTTTTTGTGAAACGTGAAATGCCTTCAATTTAGAGAGTATGCAAACCGCAAATTTGCGGGCCCCTTGTGGCCGCCAGCAGCCACTCGGGCCCATTGAGCACTAATCTGGCCCTGCGAAATAATGACCTCACTGACCTTAGCGATATACAAAAAGGAGTGTAAAGGTTAAAGAATCAATGGGAAACTCAGTTTCATGTGAAGGTATACGATGTCAATGTTGCATCCGCATCCAGTCAGTGAGTTAGGAGGTGATGCTGTTCAATCGCAAAAACCCGCAGCGTATCCTGAATATATGGAGGGGAAATTGTGTCAATAAGTATATAGTGTGTCAATAAGTTGCCTCGCCAAGATTCGATTGTTTTACATTTAAATGGAGGGTAAAAAAAGTTGCCAACTTTCAAGAATGTCGCTATGTAATTGCCAAAGGACTTAAACGCAACAGTAAGAAAAACACCAGCAATTTTACCGTAACGGGTCGGATCCCTGGCAGTTTTATTTTGAGCCTCATTCTGATCAATCACTATTTGTCCATCAATTTATCATGTATCGCATATTTTTATTCTGATTGTGACCAAACAGAAGTTTTAACTGACGTTTTAACACTGAAGATGAAATCACCTAAATTTTCAAGAAATGCCGTTTGGTATGTTTGTTTACATAGAATATAGACAGAAATTTTCAGCAGATCAAAGGCTGCGAGCACTGTAAGTATACTTGGGAGTGCGGTTGACCCAGGATGGAAGGACGGATCAAGCTATCAGGGAAAGGAACACCTTAGCAAGGAAGGCTATAGCAATGTTAAATGGAATCCTCTGGGATAGCGGATTTCCAAAGATAACAAGAGGAGGATATACAACGCTGTAGTTAAAAGTATTTTAACATATGGATGTGAAATTTGGCAGCTGAAGAAACGGACACAGGATATGCTAAGAGCAACGGAGATGGATTTTTGGAGAAGGTCGGCAGGAATTTCTAGGAGAGATTGGGTCCGTAATGATAGAGTACGTCAGATAATGGAAGTCGAAAATGACATCGTGTTCGACATCATGACCAAACAACTTGTCTGGTACGGTCATGTAAATAGGATGACGGAAGAGAGGCTGCCAAAAAAGATGCTTGATTGGGTTCCTCCTGGGAGGAGACGTAGGGGACGCTCAGTGAGAGGTTGGCGACAGGGGGTGTTAAACGAGATGAGGGAGTGTCAACTCCCTGATGACCTGTAGGAAGACCGAGCTTTGTGGCTTTCGTAAAGCGCCAAAGAGCGCTATAAAAGCGACTCATATGTATGTATTTTGCAACGCTACATACCTTGATACGCATCTCTGCAGATTCACTGTCGACTTGTTGTTGCCTACTGATTGAAAGGACACTTCTTATTGAAATTCCAATTTATTGAAAGTGTCAATTATTGCTACTGCATCGGAGTGTTATATCGACCGCGAGACTGAAAAAATGGGAATGTAGTTGCTATTTGTTGCAATTCGTGATGCTTGGAATACGAATACTGCTGCGCTAAGAAAGAACGGCGTATGAGCCTTCAGGTGTTGCCAAGTTTCCTCAGAGAAAAACCAAATTTACTGAGAAAATTGTAAATATTTTCCCCCAAAATTTTTAGACGCTTTTGTACGCAATTTAATCTATAAAATATCTGAAAATTTCACACTGGAAAAAAAAAACACATTGGATCTAGAGTCCAGACTCTTAAAAACACCGACAAGAAAAAATACTCTTGATTCGATCAGATTTAAGCTTAAATCAAGAACCAAGCCTCTTAATTTGTGCGGATTTCCTTTTGATTTAAGCTTAAATCTGATTGAGTCAAGAGTCCTTTTTCTTGTCAATGTTTTCAAGAGTCTGGACTCTAGATCCAATGTGTTTTTTTTTCCAGTGCAAAGAAAAATCTGCCGTGATAGCGAAGAGAGCCGTAAGTGCAAAATTTCCAAAATCGAGTTTTCTTCAAAATTCGTCCAAACTCTTTTAGATGAAATTACTGAGACAGCTAAAACAGCAAAATTCATCCTAATTTAATGAAAACGAGACGTATGAAAAAGCCGTAAGTGCACAAAAAATGACAGTTTTCTTCAAGCCAGCCGTAGGTGCATGAGAACCAATGAAAACAGTGCTTTCAAGAGGAATGCCGCCCTCATCTGCGGATTTCTAACCTGAAAATGTGTTTTTTGTGTGTCCAACACGCTACCCAAAAGCACGCAGAAGATAGCACTTACGGCTGTTTTGCCTAACAATAACCTAGCATGAAAACGAAAAATACCCTTTTTACGTAATTGAAATAAAATCGGTCGATTTTTAATCATCCAAACGATTTCTAGGAATCTTTCGGACGATTAGTGGAAATTTGGCGAAGGACGGAGGCTCCCTTCAATAAAATTTTCCGGTCAGAAGCTTCAGAGCCCGTTTTCTCAAAACTTCATTTTTGCACTTACGATTCTCTTCGCTATCACGGCAGAAACGTGCATGATTATCGTTAAAAACACATGATCTATCAAGGGAAATTTGGCAACTCCCAGAAGTACATACGCAGTTCTTCCTTAGCACGGCAGAATATGAATCCATCCCACGGTGTAACATGTCTTTACCTTTGTAAAGGGCCTTAACGACGGTGCCGAAGCCGCCTTTGCCGACGACGGAGGTGACCGCGGACGCCGGGACGCCATCATCGAGCCACGGTTTGCGCAAGGGTGTGTCCACAGAGGGGAGTCGCGATCGGCCGGGGCAATGTAGTCCCTGGTCACCTCCATCCCTGCAGGATAGGATATCTTCGTCGCTGCCTCTGTGTCTCCCATCCGGAGATCCCGCCTCATCCTTAGGGTTATCTTCTATGAGGCATCGAGGTGAGGACCTCCACTTCCAAGTTGACTGAACCCTTGGAGGTGTGCAAATGGACCTGAAAGATTGAACGGAAATAGCACTGAAAAAGAAATCTGGGTGTATTTACTAAGAAAAAGGTAAAATTACGAAGAATTCAGGGTTCTATTTGATCCCAGTTTTTTTCTTGGTAAAATTACCATTTATGGAATTGGTAATTTTACCAAGAAATCTCGGTAAACTTATTGAACTTGCTCGGTAATTTTACTGCATCTTGGTAAAAACGACAGTATTTTAACCCCGGACCCTCAGATCATGGAGCTAGCGCTACAACCACTACACCACAGGAGGCCGACCAACAACGACAACATAGAGATGAGGGTCCGTTTTTTCGTGAGGAAACGACGAACTGCACCTTTTCAGTCGTTTCAACTTATACACTGAGAAAAAAAATCTCGGTGTGTTTACCAAGGAAAGGGTAAAATTACCAAGAATTCAGGGTTCTATTTGATCCCAATTTTTTCTTGGTAAAATTACCATTCATGGAATTCGTAATTTTATCGAGAAATCTCGGTAAAATTACTGAACTTTCTCGGTAATTTTACTGTATCTTGGTAAGAACGCCAGTATTTTTTATCGACTGTGGTAGAATTACCGAGATAAAATGGCAAAGTTACCGGGAATTGGTTACCAATAAAAGTGGTATTCTTACCTGGAAAAAACAGTAAAAATACCGGTTTTTAGGTAAGCTTACCAGTCTGTTTTGGAAAAATTACCAATAATTGGTAAAAAAAAGTGAGATGGTAAAGGTACCAACGGACCTTTGTAAAAACGCCGAGAATTTTTTTTCAGTGAGTGACTCTGACCTATCCGGTGGGCCGATTATTGAAATTTATGCACGGAGAAAAAAACTTCGTGCATGGGACCTGAAGTTGAGGTTATATGGATCTCTGAAGTCCTCTGATCACGCATCCGAAAACTTGAGGCCGAGCTGTCGAAGTTCGGGTCAGACATTGAGGCACTTCGGTAGGTACCGAAGTACTTCAGATGTGTGACCCGAACTCGGAGTACTTCTGATGTCTGACCCGAACTTCGGCAGCTCGACCTCAAGTTTTTAGATACGTGATCCGAAAACTTCAGAGATATGACCTCAACTGCGGGTACCACGCACGAAGTTTTTTTCTCCGTGTGGACAAAGCTATAGACAAAGAAGACAAGAGGGGTATGGAGGGATCATATTGGTGGAAGCGGGTGGTTGCAATGGAGAAAGGAGGTGGGTAATAGACTAACTAACGGCAACCGACAAGAGACCCGACCATTAGTCTATCATTTTACCTCTCAGTCTGTAAAGTCCACCAGTTTCAAAAAATGGGATCGCTCCATACTTCCTATGTCTTGTTTGTCTATAGCTTTGTCTATCAATTTCAATAATCGGCCCGCTGCCGTGCTAAGGAAAAAAGCCGTCTGAACCTTCAGCCGTTGCCAAAATTCCTTTAATAAAACACAAATTTCCTAGTAAACTTATGAATATTTTCCTTCTAATTTTTCAGATAATTTTGATCGCAATTTCACCTGTAGTTCCTGAAAATTTCAAGGAAAAATATTCATAACTTGCCACAGAAATAAACGTTTTATCGAAGAAAATTTGGCAACTCTGCAATGTTAATACGGCATTCTTCTTTAGCACGACAGTATCTATCTTGCTAGGAAGATATTTTTCAGCAATTTAGATTTATGAATATCTGAATCCCAATTTTAGATTTAATTTATGATAGAGTATCTGGAAACGCCTTTCTCATTTTAACTGGATGGATTGCTGATGGTGGTTCGATGTATCGTTTGGTTCAAAACAATAGAACATAACTTCAATTAAAAATTTTAGGATTTAAGTTGGAAAATCTGAAAATGAGGAAATTGCTCACAATTTCACTTTTCAATCATTTCCATTTGAAATTCAAAAGCAATTTACCTCAATGTTACATGACAGAAAATCATGAAAAATTGAGATAGATTTCTATTTCAATGCACGCAATTTTGTAGAGATAAAATTGCTACAAGATTGAAAATAATCGCTCGGATGTTTATGATCCTAACGATTTTACATACAAAAAATCGTGCAAAAATGATTAAAACGGATGGTTGAGATAGACGAAGGGGAAAATGATAAAAAAACTACAAGGTCTCTCGTGGGTTATCGTTAGTTCGTCTATTCTGCCGTGCTAAGGAAGAACGCCGTATGAACCTTCAGTCGTTGCCAAATTTCCTTCAATGAAACCTTAATTTACTTGGAAAATCGTGAATTTTTCTCTTCAATTTTTTCAGACAATTTTGTGCGCAATTTCGTCTAAAATTTTTGAAAATTTCAAGGCAAAATATACATAATCGTTCTCAAAAATATATGTTTTATCCGGGGCAATTTGGCAATTCTCGAATGTTCATACGGCGTTTTTCCTTAGCACGGCAGTATTACTCGCCACCTTCGCCCAGCGCAACCATCTGCTTCCACCAATGAGATCATTCCATTCTCTCGCAGTCTTCTTTGTCAATCATTTTGCCTATCAATTCCAATAATGAACTTGCAGGTCTGACAGTCTTGGGTCTAACGAGACCAAATATTGACGACGAAACACTTAATCCACGTATTTTGTTTTGCGGGGTTTAAAAATCTTCGCTCCCATTTTATTTTTTTTTTCAGAACAAACCAGCATCATTCCTTGAAGTATTCACAGGATTCGCTAGGCGCAAAGAAGTTAATCACGAAAAATTTAAAGAATAATTGACTATGCGTAATTTTTAATGCAAAAAATAAAATTTAATCGGAAGTCTGCGACGTCGAAACGTGTCTGGGAGACCCAAGTTTATCAAATTAGGGTTCATGAAAATTACAAAATATGAATATTCAACTGCAACTGGGCTGCATTTTCCAAAAAGGAACGATGAGTTTAGAGCCAATTATGCAACACTGGAAAAAAAAAACACATTGGATCTCCCTGGTAAAAATTGGCAGTAGAATCTGTGTTCCAAAATACCATAGACCTACGGCCGGCTGTAAGATTTCCAATAGCTTCTAAAGCCGGCTACACAATTTCTTGTAGCCTTTTATAGCCGATGGCGACTAAGCAACAGCCAGGCGATAAAGTGTATGCTAAACGTTACTAATTACGGATGCTAGGACTTAGTGAGTTTTTGGACTACTGCTCTCTTTTTGGGCCGTAGTATCATGATTTATTTTGCAAAGAAAGCTCCGTAGTTTTGATGGATGCGTACCATTCCTAATATATTAGAGCGCCTTCAGTTACGTATGATACTGTGTAATACCTCTGGTGTGAAATAGTTGCTTCAAGCGCCTTGGCACGCTGTGGCGCGGCAGGCGGGCAGCCAGCGCGAAACACGCATTGGCGCCTACAAACCGAACAGGGATACTTCACGCGTTGCGCAATGCGTGAAGTATCCCTGTTAGGTTTGTAGGCGCCAGTGCGCCGCCGCTCCGCTTTGTGTTAGGCTCTAATGTTTAATCTGGCGGAGTCAGCGTTATTTAACTCATGATTTTGAAATGTTTGCACATCCATTATTTTCTCATTTTAATTGATGAAAAAAAATATGTATTACAGGAAAATATAATGTGTGTTTTGTAAATATTAAGGTGGCTCCGTATCAAACTTAATGATTTCCAAAGCACACGAATTTCTACACAATTTCTTATAGCCTTTTATAATCGATTGCCAAAGAAGCAACAGCCAGGCGATAAAGTGTAAAGCCCGACGATAGGAACTTTAGCCCGGCTGCATAATTTTTTATCGCTCCGTATAGCCCGGCTGTATGATTTTCTCCGCATTCTAGAGCCTGCCATATGATTTTCTGAAGCCTTCTTTAGCCGGCTATAAGAATTCCTATGGTATTTTGAAACGCAGCTCTTATCGCCAATTTTTACCAGGGCTAGAGTCCAGACTCGTGAAAACATTCACAAGAAAAAGGACTCTTGATTCAATCAGATTTAAGCTAAAATCAAGAACCAAGCCTCTTAATTTGAGCGGATAAGCTGAAATCTGATTGAATCAAGAGTCCTTTTTCTTGTGAATGTTTTCAAGAGTCTGGACTCCAGATTCAATGTGTTTTATTTCCAGTGCACCGTGCTAAGGAAGAACGCCGTTTACACTTTCGAGAGTTGCCAAATTATTTGGCTAAACTGTTTATTTTTGAGGAATATTATGAATAATGTCAGACACTTTAGATCAAATTACAAACAAAATTATCTGAGAAATTGGCAAAAAAAAATTCAAACATTTTCCTGAAAATTAGTGATTTGTTAGAGGAAATTTGCAACGCCTGAAGGCTCACACGGCATTTTTCCTTGGCACGGCAGTATGCACTATGTAATCATTCTCAATTTTGAGGTAACTAATGATTGTAAAGGCGGAAGTTTTGAAAATATAATGTTGAAATATATGATAGAAGGATTTAATAAAATTTCGACTAAAATATTAATATTCATCATACTCTTGTACATATCTTTTAATTAAAATTCGATAATTTATATTTTTTCGTGTGAAATCCATGCAACTTTTCATGCGTACGAGTTAAGCTATAAACTACCTTACATTTCATTTATCATAACTTAAGAGATAATCTTAAAATTAAAATAGTTATCATCGATACGCTCAAAGCTTTAAACTCAAAATTAAATCACAAATTACCGTGTGCATCTCATTCGTTCATTTATTTTCAGTTATTTCATCTTGAAAAAGGAAGTTTTACCACATTGTTAAAATATTTTACCACAGATTTAAAATTTTAAAGCTTGGCTATTTTTGCAAAATGTGATCCAAAGATCAGGTTAAAAATTTGTTGGTACATTTTCTAAATAGAGGCATGGATACAATTTTCCTCATTCTCCAAGTTCCCACCCAAAGTTGAGACCATTTTTTTTTCTTGAGGGTCTTCATGGGACCAAAGACCATAATTCCTCTGAAGTACTTCACCTAGCATCCAAGTAGCACAAATTGCAATTAATTGAACTGCAATCTACAATTCAGAACTACCTACAATATCTGGCTCATTTATAAAAACACTTAAGTGCATAGGAAAACTAATGAAGCGCAATTTTTTTCTTTTATTGAAATTTACGACGATGATATTAATATACGTTGCTATTCTAATTTCCATTGGAAATTTCCTACCTTTCTCGGGCATAAAAATAATTTTACTGGTCTTTGAAAATCGGCATTTATTGATCAAATGATGCAAAGATATTGCAATATCATGGTAAAGGAGTTGCAATCACATTGCACTGTAGGTATTGCAAAATTATTTCAATATTTTCAATGCATTGCGCTGCTTGGACTATATTTTGCAATAAGGAACTTAAATGTTTGGCTAATTTTGGAAACAACGTATGTCCCACTAATTTCTCTACACAGATAAGTGCTTTTACGAATGGGTAAGAAATTTTAGTTCCTTATCGCAAAATGACGAGCATTTGTGTCACACTGTCACAGCCTACTCTTAACTGAGTCTCAGCTCTGCCTATATTTCTCAGAGCCCACACTCTTCTCCAAAATCTCCAGAATCATTGGCATTGAGACATCAAGATCTTCAACGTTTTTTCGATTCGACGAGCATTCCTTGAAAAAATTACTTTGTAATTACCTGACCGTCGCTGTGGGATTAGAATAGTTGGATGTCAACTTGCAACGAAAAGAAATTTTAGAGACACTGTTTGTTCCGCACCGCAATAATCGTGGCGATATAAATGAAGATATTTCCGAGCACATTTTTGTAGGTTAAAGCTACCAACTTCGCGGGTGGATGGCACGATCATAGCTGCAACCGATGCGCTATCACTGCTATTAGCTTCAACAGATCACTGATTGCCCCTGATTGTAAATACAGCCGAGAGTACGAAAACGAGTAGATAGGAGGGGCATCTGTATGTTCATATCTCTAATGCGAGAGTAGTGCGCCTTGCTGTCAAGTGGGACATGTTATAAAAATAACCAGGGGGTAAACCCCTGACCACTACGCAGCTTCGTCCTAAAAGGACGCTCTGGGTTCTCGGAGAGCCGCCTCCCGCCGGTAAAAAAAACTTGGACAAAATTTGAAAAATCAAAGACTCGAAAATTTGAAAATTCGACTTCTCTGTAGATAAGTTCCATTTCACCAGCTCTCCCCCCCTCCCCCCACTTCCACAAAAAAAATATGAAAAATATGTCATCGTTTTGCAAGTGTTTTGAAAGTGAAAAAAGTTTTTTAAGTCTTTCCAAACGGTTCATATGGCTTTAACTTGGTTGGGGGGGGGGCTGAAGAAATGATAGCCCCCCAACTTTGCGATCGATAAATTCTGACAACGCCAACGTTTTGTGTTTCGTAACGTTTTGTAAGTCCACAAATAAATTTTGTAACTCAACTTTTAGGGGGGATACGGCTTCCCAAAATTTTGAGGTCAGCCTCAGCCCCCTCACTTTCCGGTAAAAAAATTCCGACAACACCAATGTTTTGTAAGTGCCTTGTAACGTTTCGCATGTAGAGAAAACACATTTTTGTAAGTCCATTTTGTGAGGGGATTCTCCAAAATTATCGGGCTAGGCACTCGAGATCCCTAAATGACCAAGGTTAATTGTACCGTTCGAAAATATACGTTCCATCTATGACCTTAAATGTGGTTAAAATTTGCTCTGTTGTGCTCTCAGAAATGGTGGAGGAGGCGGTGGAAAACAGTAAAGGATCTCCAACAGACTGTTTCAATCAGTGCTCCCAGTTCCGGGTCTCCGAACTTTTTTGTTCCAATTTCTCCCACTCCATGACCATCAAAAGTTCCCAGATTTCTTGTAGATTTTTCAAAAGTTCCAAGAAAGTTCCGGAAAATGCAAAAGATCCGGTACATTTCGGGAATTTCTAAAGTTCCGAGGAAAATGCAGAAAAATCTCTAAAGTTCCGGAGTTCGGAAATATGGTTCTGGGAAATGGAAGCACTGGTTTCAGTACCTTTTTATCATAGAGGCCCATTCGTATGCTGATGTCTATTCCTGTACTGCCGTGCTAGGGAAGAACGCTGTATAAACCTTCAGTCGTTGCCAAATTTCCTTCAATAAAACTTCAATTTACTTGGAATATCGTGAATTTTTCTCTTCAAATTTTTCAAACAATTTTGTGCGCAATTTCGTCTAAAATTTTTGAAAATTTCAAGGAAAAATACGCACAATCGTTCTCAAAAATACATGTTTTATCCGGGGCAATTTGGCAACTCTCGAATGTTCATACGGCGTTTTTCCTTAGCAAGGCAGTGTAGTGAAAGGGTCGGTCGTTCAGCAAAGGAGATGCCGTTTACCGATTCAGCATTTCTGGTCACAGACCACTCTTTCACCAAGTCCTCAGCACCGTTCAGTTGATTTATATTTGCAATTCAGCGTGAAGTCACATTGTGTTGTGTCAACTAGAGCACCTGTATGTGTCAACCAAAAATGCCGAGCTCAAAATACGCTGTCGGAGAGTGACGTTTCCGTGAATCTGAGATTGTCGGCAACGTCCCCCTCCGCCTCGCTATCGCGGCCCGAGCGCGCATGCGTTTGCGTCTGCGCACTCGCGGAGGCCGGCAGCCAGCGAAGCTGGTCTCGCGCTGGCGGAGCAGGAGCAGTCAGTCGGAGAAATGATCTAGCTGTGGCTCATGCCTGCGATCTTCCTNATTGTGTTGTGTCAACTAGAGCACCTGTATAGGGAATGTATGGACAGATCTGAAACTCCGAAAGTCCATCAGGCCTTCACCGATGCCTCCGCGAATAAAGTTAGGGCCCAAAAGGGCAGCCAACCTATGAATTTCGAATGTCCAGAGCGATTTACAAATACAATTGTTACCGTCGTTTAAAAAGCATGTATTTGGCTTACTTTTTGCATAAATTTACTCATTTTTGCGAAAGAACGCTCATTTATGTACATTCTTAGCCATCTTGGTTAGAATTGAAATCTGTAGGCTGGCAGTGAAATTTTGTGTGTTAGAAGTTGCTCAGAGGGGTGGCTGCACTTTTGGGCCCTAAGCCCTCCATGAACCGATCTGTCCATACTCTCCCTATACAGGTACTCTAGTGTCAACCAAAAATGCCGAGCTCAAAATACCGTGCAATTGACTTTTTGCTTCGAAACACTTATGAAGTCAGCACACGTTTAAATATGAAAAATAATAATGGGACTCATTTGCACTTTTTATTTCAGAAGTGTCGTCAGCTTAGTTGACGGTTGTTCATTTTCGGTTTGCAAGTGTTTTCGCGTCACTACTATCCACATGAAAACATCAGGCTCTCGCAAAAACAAGAACACAAGCTCATTTGTAAGTTTTTAAATACTTTCAAACCTTGTAACACATTAATTTTTAGCCACTTAGAAATCAGTCGCGAATCATAACTGATAAGTTGCTTTTTTATTGTACGATCATGAGACGGATGTTTTCAAGGTGGATAGTAGCGAAACTTCACTTCGTGCAGAGGCCCAAATTCGTCGTTGGCGCTTGCAAATTGGAAGTAAACAACCGCCAACTCCTCCATTAAAATTGAACGCGTTTCGAGGGTTCCACCCTCATCTTCAGCGACAACCCACGACTGACTTGATTGGATTTTTTGCGTGAGAATAGATTAATTTTTTTAAAAAAAGAAAAAAAGGGAAAAGAGAAAAAAGGAGAAAATAATGTGTGCAACCCTTTTTTTTGCGTGAGTTTTATTGCTTTCCGAGAGAGTGTTTTGGGAGGACAGGATGTTTTGCCATGTCAAGGAAAGATGGTGTATAAACATTGGAGAGTTATAAAATTTTAATTTTTAAGGAGACCTGTACATATTTTCTCTTGAAATTTTCAAATATTTTAGATCTGATTTTGAATGAAATTCCCTGAACAATTGAAAGGAAAATATTCACAAATTTCCCTGAAAATTCAACTTTGATCTAAAGAAATTTGGTAATGTCTGAGGGCACATCCGGCGTTTTTCCTCACGATCAGTGCGGCAGTTTGGCGACCTGGTGTCGCAGATACAGTGACATGAGATCCTCCACCAAGATCCATCCATGTACGTCAGTCATTCCCGAAACCGAAATGAGAATCTTCTGCGCATGACGTCAGCATTACTGCCGCGAAAACCAGAAAAGTCGGAAACAATGCTTTTCTTATGAGAGAGAGCAAATTTTACTTAATGAATCATTTGAAATTCTTACTTTTAAATCGTTTGAAACTTTCTAACTGCGGAAAGGAAAGTTTAGATATTAGCGTCCAGGGTTTCAATTCAGCTGAGTTTGCGTTTTTATATTTTTTTAAATGACTTTTGAAGTCAGCGATTGTAACAAGCCATCTAGTGGTATAAATTCGCGTGTAAAAATGGCTGATGCAGCGTAAACTGTAAAAATGAAAGAACATAAATTCGGCAAAATCGAAACTCTTCAGAATGCTAATGTCTAAACGATCCTTTCGACACTCAGAAAGTTTCAAACGATTTAAAAGTAAGAAATTTAAATGATTCATTAAGAAAAATTTGCTCTTTCCTATAAGAAAAGCATAGTATCCGTGCTTTTTCGCTTTCGCGGCAGCAATGCTGACGTCACGAGCCAATGGATGGAGCGTGATGGGTGGGGCTTACCCCGAGCGGGGGGAAATCTGCGTAATGACTGACCTATATGGATGAATCTTGCTCTCCTCTCGCCTCTTGGCGACCGGAGGAAGCTTTTACTTATAGTGCTGCCATGTGGAAGCTTTTACTTATAGTGCTGCCATGTGGAAGCTTTTACTTATAGTGCTGCCATGTGGAAGCTTTTACTTATAGTGCTGCCATGCCGAGGAAAAACAATGTATGAACATCCGAGGGTTGCCATATTTCTTCCGATAAAATTTTAATTTTTAAGGAGCCCTGTAAATATTTTCTACTGAAATTTTCAAATATTTTAGATCTGATTTTGAATGAAATTCCCTGAAAAATTGGATTGAAAATTTTCACAAATTTCCCTGAATATTCAAATTTGATCTAAAGAAATTTGGCGATGTCTGAGGGCTCATCCGACGTTTTTCCCCAGTGCGGCGGTGTGGCGACCAGGGTCCGAATTTTTTCGGCTTTTTCACACGGAGTGCAACTGCCACCGATGAGCTCAAACCGCACCACCGGCCAATCAGAAGTGCTAAGCCGGACTTAAGTGCAGTCGAGACCCGTCCTAAGTAAATTAAAGTACGGTGGAAGGACCGAAAAAATTCGGCCCTAGGTGTCGCAGCTACAGAGACAAGAGACCCTCCACTGGCCTCTTGGCGACCGGTGGAGGCTTTTACCTTCGGGAATTCAACACTTCCATAAAGGTAACAACAGTCATCACTCTTTTTTCGGCTGTTGACCTACCTACATGGTGGATGATGAGCTTCGAATGACGTCATGAGGCATACAAGTTTTTTAAACTTCGGTTTGTTTCCAAAATGAAACTGCTAACACGTTAATTGTTAACCATCAACCAAGTAGGTGAGGTCAACAGGTGAATGTTGAAGTCCCCAAAGTTTGCCAAGATACCAGTGGAGGAGCTTGACTTGTAATAGATGTTTTAGATGTGTTTTTTAACGTTGAATTCGAAAATGATAACCGTTTCTCTCTATTCCATTAGGAGTTTCTGAGGAGCTAAATTTTTCCCGGAAAAAAGAGGATTTCCCAGGGAAAACTCGGTACCATGGATAACTTGTGAATTTCGGCGAAAAAACAAGTCATTTCTTAACTCAGCGGCCGAATGCCTGAAAAAGTATGGGAGCTAGTCATTTTCTTCACTTTCAGCGTTATATAACACAAAAAAAAACATCCGTCATTTGTTGAGGTATGTTCCCTGAAAATTTAGTTTTCCCAGAAAACCCTCTGTTTTACAAGAAAATCGATTTTC